GGTCACATAGCCTGGTGGTAAGGGAGGAGGACTGGTGACCATAAGGTCCCAGGTTCGATCCTCACCGCCACCATGGTGTTCCCGGAGGCATCCCGCTATCACCCGGACCGCCGGCGGAGGTCCCGGGGTTTAGCCTGACTACGGCATCACAAAATGTGGTGACCGTGGAGGGTGTTCCTCGTTATCAAAAAAAATATATTATGGGTTTGGGGATGTGTATGTACGTATTAGGGTTTAACACAATTTCTGCTAACTAACGATATAATACCATGTGATGAAGTGCCATTTTTGGCAGCTCCAACAGCGGGGAAGAAGTTTTTGATGATAGTGGATAGGGTGGTGATGATGCAAATTAAAGAGAGCAAGTAGATGAGGCAAATTGGAGAAGGAAGAAAGGTGGTGGGTGGCACCAAAAACATGCAAAGCAGTAGTAGTAGTAGTGATGGAGGAGTTTGGACTGTTCCAAACTTAACCGCCAGTGGCCATCGACAGAGAGAGAGAGAGTGAGAGAGAGAGAGGAATTTCTGGCAGAATGGTAAGGAAGGAAGCACGCGTGATGAAAGCCCCGATCGAGAGTACTGAAGAAAAGCCTCTTCTCCTTTAATCCTTGTCCCCCTTTAATCTCTCTCTCTCTTACATGGATATGCTTTTGATGCTCTCTCTCTCTCTATCTTTTGTGGGTTTTTTGGCCATATTTCAAACTTCAATTCAGTGGGGAGGAGCATGCATGTGTATTTAGCAATCCATGTGTATGCATATATGATATATCACCATCGTATGCCAAGAGGAGGTGAAGGTGGCTCGATCGAGTGATAATATATGACACAGAGGGAGCATTCTGGGCTGAGGATGGTAAAATTGTATTAGAAGTTGTTCAAATTGTTTTATATTGCTAAATAATTTTCTATCGATTTAGATTTCGGAAGGAGATTTTTTTTCCAGGCGGATATCGTCAGTACGATACGATTTTACAAACACTATTGATTCTATCAGGTTTAATATTTATAACCTATCATTTGACAGAAAAACTTATTGACGATTATCGCGACATAGCTATATATATATATATACCTTGAATTAGCAGGATTTTTGGGCATGATACTATACCCTAACCCTTAATAAGTGAACCCTAGGTCCTAATTATCTAAATCATAAACTATAAAGCCTAAGATGGTGCATTATTTTTTTGCCTATATTTGGAAGAATCATAACCGTCGATTATTGTTTTTAATTAAATTGATCTTGGGGTATAAGATTAAGAGAGTTAAGACCTAGGTTTTGATATTTAAGGGTACGTAAGAGTATAGTATCATGTCCGAAACATCAGTCAATTCAAGTTTTGGATAACGTTTTCTTACTCAATGTATGCGATACCCCGGATTTCACTCCGAGTACCGTAGAACTCTCCATATATATAAAAAAAAAGTTCGAGCTGGCCATTAACAAGTTTGTCGAGTATTCATGACGTATATTTGGTACTTTCAGACGTATATATGTACCGAGATCCCATTATAATGAACAGTTTATGCATATCAGTCAGTTTATGCGAGTTTGGTGAGGCATATATGTTTCGTCCCTAAAGAGGGAAACGACGACAGCCACAGAACAAACCTTGGCCTACTCGTTTCACTTCCAGTCCCCTCTCCCTTTTCTCTTTTTTGCCAATCGATCGCTTCTTCTTTCCGCTTGTTGGTGTTATGTTTTGGAATTGTAGGGTAGCTACTAATTAATCACGTCTTCTCCACCGTGTTAATTGTCTCATCTTATCTTCAATAGTTAATTAACTAGCAAGACAAGGATCATATATGATGTTTAATAATGCTTTAAAAAACAAATAGTAAAGCGATAGTCGGTTTAGAAAAAAAAATAGTTTCTTTTTATTAGCGATACGTGGATTTCAATTACTGAATAATAGGGTAAATTACGATTCGCATTTAATTGTTGTATTAAGGATATTGGAGTATACTAAACAAGACATTGCTATCCTTCTACCAATAATCAAGATGAGTCATTTGATTTTGATGCGACGGGAAGGATCGAATAGAGTGTTTAACACTACTCTAGAGAAAAAAAAGAAGGTTAAGCTAGTGTGTTGGGTAAATTTTAGTTTTTAATCATAGAAGAATAAGTGATTTTGGTGGAACGATATGTAAATATGAAGACGTTATGCTAGCACGAAATAATTATCACTTTAAAAGTAAAATTATGAGATCTGTTTTTTCCCCTCATTAATACAAGTGTGTTGACCATCGAAACCGTGCTTTGGGGTTAAAAGGGAGTCACATCAGGCAATTAGGTGTCACGTGGACGTCTGTGATAATATACGTATTCAAATATGTGAACTCTCTCATGCGACCCTAACATCTTTGCCTCTTTTTTTTTATCGAGACATCTGGTATCTCAAAGTGCATATATCAAGAATATTAGCTATTATTTAGTCATATCACAAACACAATATATATTCCCCATGAATCTTATCTTCCTACTACCATATTTGACGTAGCAAAAGCTATTTTTGCATGTACTAGAGATAATCAAGAGATTAAGCAAGACCCAAAAAAGTGATTATGTAACCATGAACTTTTTCACTTTAAAGATCCAATTGGGACCAACATAGCTACAATATTTGTACGTAGGTGGATTGGATACATATTTATCCAACCGCACTAAGATTCCAGCTCCAAAGGGGTCGGGTCGGGTCGGGTCAAATTTGAGCTTGAGAGCACTGATACGAATGAAAGCGAAAGATCAGTGAGTGACCACTGTTTTCCAGCTTTTTTCTACTACTGATTTCTCTTGTATTGTGGAAACTGGGAAAAAAGTTACGTGTATTTGTGACGTGTGGTCCACCGTCACGTGTATCTGAAAGGGGTTAGTCGGGCTCAGTTTGGGCTGGGGGTCCAAGTCGTGGAGGGTTCATGGATCCTCTCAATCCTCTGTTTGCAGGTCCAGTCCAGGCCCACGAGTCCGTTCTGGTGGTGCATGTTGCTGTAGGACCACCTGTTTAGCCATCTTTGCATAGGCAAAAGAGAAAGGGTAACAGAATCATCCATGATACAAGAATCAAGATACCGTGATATTGGGTTAACGCTTAACAGTAACACCTTGAGTATTCACGTTGGCCATTCGTTTTAAATTGGAAAATGATATGACATGAGTTTTTGTAATGCAATTATAAATTCAGATTCATTGATGTGATCATCAATTGCATATTTGCAATTATAAAACAAATGTAATTGAATATGAAAGTCAAAACAATCTTAAAAAGGAAAATGACGCATAGCCAAAATGATATAAAAAAGGGGAATGATGGCTTCTGCAATAGGTGTATTTAGTTATATTTCCTTTTTGCACCATAGTTTAAGCTCATATGCAATTGCATTGTAGGGAGTAGGGACTATCTGGTTTTTGACATGGCACCAAGCCTTTTGTAACCAAAATGTCTTTTATTCGAATCTTGGTGATCTATTTGTTAAGCACATGGTGTTTCGGACCAGACATTCGCAAAACTTCAACCCACATATGAGCGTGACTTTCGTTTAGGGTGTGTATTTAGAGCCTTATGTTACTGAGGGACCTTCTGTTTGACTCCAGATCACCTGTTTAAGGGTCATTTGCTTTGTGGATTTGAAAAATGAAGGTTTTGATATAACTTGTGTTTTGGTAAACCATGGATATATGAGGATTTTGGCTTCATTATGGATTTGAAAAGACCATTGTTTATTTCATGAATTTCATAACGAAATTTGTTAGTTAAATTTGTATGTATGAAGTGAACTTTACTTTTATTGCCCTCAATGATATAAGAAGAGAAAGAAAATATAAGGGATAGGTTGGTAAAAAATGATGGATTTCAAAGTCAATGATCAATTCCCACCTAAAGAGGTGAAATTTTCAAGTCCGTAGGGTCTCGCGAATTTGATACCTCTAAATACTTGAAGCAAATAATAAATTTTGGACAAAATCTATCATGAACCCAAATCTATTACCAAATCCTTCACCATATCCATCATGCAAACAAATACTTTCTTCTAAATCCATGTGATGGAGATGAAACCTTTTACACAATCATATGTAGAAAGCTTCCACTATTAAAGAGGATGCATCGTTAATTAGTAGTAACCGGTTGTTTATCTCCATGGCCTTGGTTTGGAGGCCAAGTGTCCCAATCAAAGGGTGAGAAAGTAAGTTGGGACTCAATAGCACATGTGCTACAACACAAACAACGGACGGTCTTGGATCAGTTCACCTAGCACTGGGCAACCCACCCATGGTTTCGGGGCAGAAAACCACTTGCTTCACAGCTTCTTACTTACCTTCATTCATGTTAGATAAAAAAAAACCCAGAAAGGAGGACAGATAATCCTTAATAAAAAGCAAACTACCTGAGGCAAATCTGTCAAAACATCATCTCATTCATTAGCAAAGTCACAGCATAATCCACAAACAAACGTACAAACTGGATACATAATATGCATCCATTCTAAACAAAAAGGTCTACTTACGACGAATTCATTGACCTGATCAACTTCTCGATTAAGACGACCGAAAGATAAAAGGAATATAAGATATCATGTAAGACTTGAACAGCTGAAGAAAATGTGCACATACAACATATGGATCATTCTTCATGTACAACGTATTGTAATACCATGTCCATATTTCGTTAGCCTCGCGTCATTTTTGTTGGCTTTTGCTCTGTTTCTGCTGTTACATATGACTTGCCAGTGATGATTATGTATAGCAGCCAGTGGATAAGGGGCTACTACTAGATCCTCGTGCCCACCTCCTTAGTCTTTTGTTTCAGTGACGATTAAGACATCACAAGCACTAAGCTCTGCATAATCATGTTAAAAGTACCCATTTGCAGTGGTGCATAATAAGAGTCGCATTAAATATGGAGGAGCACTAATAATAATTCAGGTGAACCCCAAGATTTTCCATAACTATAGCTACAAGTGTATTCAATTCGGAGGGATTTGATACATATAATGATTGAGTTATAATTCTAGATATAGATCAAATCGTAACGAAACACACTTTCAACAAATGGACAAATTGTACAAAGAAATTCCACATAAATTCGATATGTATGCAAAACTCGACGAGGGTACAAGACTGGTCAAGAAAATTAAGCTACAGATGTACTTAAATTAATCATATCTTCATTCTAGATAACAATGCAGTAATGATACCTTCCTAGCACATGGATCTTCTTATTGAGAGTCATTAAACCTGGGGGACTGTGGTTTTTTGCCTTTCTTCTCCCAAGTCTCATTTCAACTTAATGTTTAATAAACCACACAGAGAAAAGAAACAGAGTACTTTTGTGGGAGGGGGAGCAGAAGAAGACAGAGGGATCAACCGACCAAAAACTAGAAACCTTTGTAACAACAACAAAAACAAGCGACTCCAATTGTTGGTATTCAACTGCAAAACCATCAAACTCCCCTCTCGAAAACCTTATATAAACCTCCAAGCCATGGCTCACTCATTTCAACAAAACAAAGCAGCACAGCAAGCAAGTTCATTCTGCATTCAACTTCCTTTTTCCTCTTCTCTTCTGTTGTGAAATCTAAGTGCAAAAATAATGGCAAAGAATGTAGCTCAATCTCCCCTGGAGACCAGCATGTCTTCACTTGACCAAAGGTTGGCCATGGCCAAGCGTTGCTCTCATGGTATATACTTTACTTTTTACTTCTTTTTGAGCATGCAAAGGAAATTGCTTTTTTGGCTCCACATGCTGCCCCTGGGATTTGGACTTCTGGGTTCAGGAGAAAATGCAGCCACCACCATCATGCATACACTTAAAGCTATATATTACTATTGTTATGATGCATCTTTGTCATGATTATGAGCTAGCTATACTCTATGTATTGCTTTCTTTTATCATCAAAGGGTATATGCCTACAATGTGATAAAAGATGTGGTCTATGATAACACCCACATCCCCAATTAGAACCTTTTTGAATGAATCAATTCAAAATCTCCTCACTTTTTGTTCACAAAGAACAGAGTATCTTATGCATAGGAGGCTTTTGTATGTTTCAGCATCAAAATGGATAAAAAGGAAAGGAAGGGAAGAAAAGTGGTTCTTTGATTATGATGATGATGGACCTAACCTTAGACCAAGTCACCAAACAAACAACTCTTTTGCTTTCTTTCAATTTCCTTTCTTCATCAGAATGGTTTTTTTCTAAGATTCTAACCTTTGGACCCAGAAATTGCACACGAAGAAAAGCTATGGAATATGGTCGGTCAAGATTTACTGCTGCTAGCTAACCTATAATGGATTGATTAGTTAGCCAAAACTAGAATAATTAACTTGCTTTTTGATATCTTTATTGAGTACTAACATTTTCTTCCCCATGTTTTTGATGGGTTTGCTTTTGACAGAGGGAGTGGTTGCAGGAGCAAAGGCAGCTGTCCTTGCTAGCATTGCTACTGCTATCCCAACTGTAAGTTCCTTTCTCGACTCTTGTTCTACTTGGAAATGGAACATTTCCCGAGCTCTGACTAACTGTGTCCCTTGCATGTGCAAACATGCAGTTTGCTAGTGCAAGAATGCTTCCATGGGCAAGAGCTAATCTCAATCACACTGCCCAAGCTCTCATAATCTCCACAGGTTGGCACACTTTTACCAAAGAAACAAGTGATTATCTTTATTCTTCTATTATGTTTTTTCCTAGTTGTTAATGGAGTTTTATGGTTTCAATGGCAGTTGCTGGAGCAGCCTATTTCATAGTCGCTGACAAGACTGTCCTAGCTACAGCAAGGAAGAACTCATTCAAGCATGCTTCCAACAATTGAAGAAGCATGGATTCTAGTTTTTACTGTGATCAATTACGTGAGATTCATCTACTGTGGTGGATAAATAAGATGAGCTTCACGTATGAAGCTAAGACAAATATGTATCCAGCAATTGGAGTAATCAAATGGGGAACAAAGTTAGTTTACTTACTTGGTTTACCAATAGTCGTTACACAAACACCGGCCATCTCTGAAATGATGGGACGGATTTCTGTCTCTAGCAATGATTCCTCTATTAAAGATCTTTGAAATCAGCTTAGTTGCAGAGTGACAGTTTACACAAACACGCAGATTCTTCACTATATTTATCATAGTCCCCGACTTTGTACTGATCAACCCAAAAGGTAAGCAATCGCCAGCTTCTCACGGTGATGGCTCATGACCTCTTCTTTCCATTCCTCGTCCATATTATACAACACCTCGGAAGCATCGAGCACGAAATCAGATTTCTCCAATGCCTCATCTATCTCATCCAGCAACTAATAGAATTCGTCACTATGAGAATGTGTCTTGTCGCCAACTAGAAACTCATGAACAATACTATCCATAAAACTACAACAGGGCACTTTCTTCATTCCTCTATCGTTTATCCTAGTTCTTATTCTCGCCAAATCATCCCATCTCCCAGCTCCTGCATAGATATTCGACAAGAGCACATAAGCCCCAGTGTTTTCAGGCTCCAACTTGAGAACACGCTAGGCAGCCAATTCGGACAACTCAACTTGCCCATTAAGTCTACACGATCCAAGCAGAATCTCAGATTGCACCACTGGGGTCATTTCTATATTGTTTATCAGTCTCTCTGCTCATCAAACAACCCTGCTTCGCCTAGAAGATCTATCATGCAGCCATAGTGTGGCAATTTAGGACTAAAGTTGTGATCTTGCACCATTGAAGTAAAGTACTTCCGTCCTAGATCTACCCAACCCCCATGGTTACAAGCAGATAGTAAACTGACGAAGATGATGTCATCTCGTGCAAACCCTTCATGTGTCATTATGGAGAAGAGCTCGAGTGCCATGCCAGGAAGCCCGTGCATAGCAAGCCCAAATATCATTGCACTCCAAGAAGCCAAGATTTTAGTTTCCATGGCATTGAAGATTTGTTTGACTGCCATGGTATGACCGCATTTGGCATACATGTCAATGAGGCTCGTCGATAGAGCATTATTTTCTTTTGTTCATGTTCTTGTCTATATGAGCATGGATCCATTTACCGAGAGTCAGAGCCTCCAAGTTGGAAACGACTGGAAGAATGCTTACCCAGGTTACCTCATTAGGGCTACATTTGATTGAAGCATCCGTCTGAAATCTCCAGTGCTTCCTAGTAGCTGCCCATGTTGTTATAAACACGGTTCCATGAGACGGCGCTCTTGGTTTTTTAGGTTATCGAATACATTCGTGGTTCTATCCAGATCTCCACATTCAGCATACATGTCAAAAAGACCATTGACAAGCCTGAGATTTGATCCTAGCCCGTGATCCTTAATCCATGAATGCACCCAATTGCCTAACTCCAGAGATCCAAATTCGCACATTATTCGAAGAAAGCTATTGCTTCTTCATATAAGCTATTCTGGATATGGCCTGAAATCATAGCATTCCAGGATACTACATCTCTAACAGGCATTTCATCGAACAGTTTCCGAGCCTCATCCATAAGCCCACTAGAACCGTACCCATTGACCAGAGCCGTATACGAAATGGCATCTCTCCTAGGACTTTTGTCAAACACTGATCTACCATAACCCAGTTCGCCATTCTGAGCACAAATGTTAATCAAAGAGGTATGCACAAAAGCGTCTTACTCAACACCGAGCTTCAGAACATGTCCATGGATTTCTTCCTCTTCATGGGCATTCCTCAGTTTCGCGCAGGACTTCAAAACGAAGGCAAACATATGGTTGTTCGGCTTCAAACCAGCCACCATCATCGATCATACGGATGTAAAATTCCACGGCCAGAGCAAGGGTTTCACTCAACGCGAATCCCCTGATTACATGGTTCCAGATTATCTGATCAGGGTTTTCGACAGTCTTGAAGAGGGGCAGTGGGTAAGGCAGGTCCGCCGAAGGGAGAAACTGGCAGAGTTGTTGTGGAGGACGGTTTCGATGACGAGCGAGTGGATTTGCTTGAGAGTTCTGACGTCTTTGCAGGTGGAGAGACTGATCTATAGTATCATTTATAGCTGAAACTGAAAACTGCACCCACCATTCAAAAATTCTTGGTCTTAGAGTGAATTTCGGATGCTGAGGTGGATGCCCATTTAGGCGGGGTTTTCCCCCCTCTTCCCCCCTCTGTCGTCATCGACTGCAACCGGCATGCATCACTCTTCCTCTTCCCTTCCGGCATCAAAGTACACTCTGATTTCCTATAAACGCCTCTTTCGTCGACTGCAACCGGCCATCGCTGCGTTCCGCTCTCGCCGTTCCGGCCAATGTATTTTGGTGCGGCTCTTCATTTCTTCGTAGAGGGCGAGCGTATCATACGACGGCGTCGAGTTCCGCCGACCGAATTTGGGTAACCCACACGTTGGTTCGTCGAACAATCTGTGAAAGGTTTGGTACAGAATTGCGGCCTTCTCTGACTATCCTCCGCCTATTAAAACCAGGCACAACTATTCTCAATCATCCATCGCAGTCTTCCCCTCAAATTAGCGTCTCATTCAACATCACCGCCACTGATTACTTAATTAGCCAACGAACACCACCCATCACCAAGTAAGCTCTCCCTGATTCATCCCATTTGTCTCATTCTTTTTGCTTATATTAGGTGTCTGTGCATTATGAAATTGTTGATTAGAAATATGCCCCCAACGAGATTTTTTTCTTCTGGATTGGGATTGCAATTTGGTCTACTTTCTGCGTTTAGGGTTTGTACAAGCTGTATAGCTTTCAATCCGAGGAGCTTCTTCATTATTGGTAGTCCAAACCATCTAATTGGATTCTGAATCGAGGTTTGTTTGGGGTATCTGTCATCACTTTAGGGTTTGTTGTACTGGGTACGACATATTCGGTCTTTCTTGGTTCATTATAGGATGACAAGATCACTTACACAAAACGGGAGACTTAATTTGATTACAAAACGGGCTACGAGTAGTGGGTACGACATATTCGGTCTTTCTTGGTTCATTATAGGATGACAAGATCACTTATAGGCTGAAAAGACTTAGATATGATACCAGTATTGACCACTACATTCCTGTCCTCACCGTGCAGAAGATCTACAAGGGTCCACAAAGTTGTCACAACCAGCCAGCTCTCGAGCGGGTCTTCGAGACTATTTCCACCATGAGTGCTAACCATTTTGATTATTCCTCAGTGAGTTTTACTTCTTTTCCTTGCTGAGGTATGTTATCCTTTTATGCTTCGCTTTGGATTGTGTTTTGATTCTTTTGGTAGGCTGTTTATCGCGAGGAGTGCAGAGTCCAGTTTTCATAAGAACAAAATGAAGTCGTTCGCTCAGATGTTAGATTGATGTGTATGGTTTTTGATTGGTTTCGCGTTTTTTGGTTATGGCTTATGCACTCTGAAAGTTACATAACATCACTTTAGTGAGCTATCTAGGTTGAGGGCTTCTTTGATTGCTGATGATACGAAGGAGATAATTATTCAGGTTGGTTTGTGAGAAATAGATTGGGAGTCTTGATCATATTTGCATGAATATTGTTTTTCATTTTGGTCTTTTTTTATTAGAATTTGTGTCTACTTGGAAAGTTTCCCTTAATCAGTAGCTTAAGTCTTTACCCATGATTTAGTAGGACACACATTAAGCTTGGCGAATATTGCAATCTAGGTGATGTGTCTGTCCCAACTACAAATAGTGAAGTAGGTAGGTATCCCCATATACTTATCGAGTAATCCTGCCATAGGAATTGAATTTCCTTACTTTCTTTCCTTTTTGAAAACAATAGGCATAACATTTTACACATATACAATAGGTATTAGATTTCATAGTGCCATCACACATGGCCCAGTCCAAAACCATTTGAACAGCTTGCTGTAGTTGAAGTTTCTTTCTTTTGTTATATTCCTTTCTTCTGTTATAATATAACAACCTGCTGTAGTGGAAGTACTCTCCCTTTCTTCTACTGTACTTTGACCCACAGCTTGAGAAAGAATGTGCCTACTATGACTCCTCTCCGTATACTTTCAACTCTCTATCTTTATGCGCTATGTTTGTTTGTAAACCCACTTTATACTTGCTTTCCTTTAATGATACTCTAGAGTCTTGACTTGGTAAGCCTTTTATTATAATCTTTTCTTGACTACGGGCTCTAACAATAGCAATAATACAACAAAATGTCTCAATCATGCTTTTGTTCATGTTATAGCGATTACAGATGTTAATATTGCCGACAATGTAGTAAAGATATTTGCAGTATCTAGCTGCGTTGGTGTTTTCGATGTGATAGACATTGAATTAGAACTTGATGCTGCTATTAGGTCGAAAAGTTTGGTAAAGGTGAAGAGGAAGTCAGTTGATTGCGATGATGCCCAGCTGTGTTCGGAAGTTTGAGAGGCAGGTGGAGATGACGACAATGCTTGGGAGAAGGAAGAATGAAGTTTCGTTGAGGTTGACTGTTCTGTAAGTCTCTGTAGCTCCCCATATTTCCTTTTATGTAGCTTTTGGTATATCAATTCTAATTGCAACTTCTCTTTGCTGGAGGACTAGAAGAAAGAACGAGGAGTCTCCTCTCATCCATGTCCAGTGAATGAGTCCTATCTCAGTGAAGGAAAGCCCAGGTATCATAGATTTCCTTTCTCTTCTTCACTTATGTACTTCACTGAATGTGACCAATTTTTAGCCAAATACCAAATTGACCCCTTTGTGTTTAAAAGAGGTATAGTGGCTCGGGTGGGACTTGGGAGTGGTCTCTTGCTGAGTTTTTGTCAACCTCAAAGCCATTGCTCTTGGGTCCCAGTAGAATAGACTGGGAAGGTTAAAATTGCTATGTTTATTACTTGAGATTCTCAGTTAAGGATTGTTGTTGGGGTTTATGTTTTGCTTAATTTTTGTTATGTCACAACTTATCAACGACAAGTTCAGAATCGATGAGAGTCTCTTGACCATTGTCGATGCTATCACTGGTTAGCTTTTGTGTCAATCATATTCGCCTGCCATTGTATCCTGAAATCAGGTTTGCCTTCGTCTTAGTGGTTGCTGATGTTTTGTTATATTTCAACCACCTAGAAGACTGTTGATAGGCTATCGAACAAGGGTCAGAGAGGTGAATAAGACTTTCTTTTAATATATATGCAAACCTTTATGCTACTTAGTCTCCATTTTATTTCCCTGGAAGCTGTGAGATTTTGTGTTTTGTGAAATATGTTTTTAGGTACAAACTTATGGTCCTTACGTTAATATTTTATAATTGGATTGGGATTTTTGTAGGGCATGGATCGATGGAGGGGCTGCGACATGAACTTTATGAGTGGTTAGAAAAAAGAAGATTCTGCTGAGTACCTAGGGTAATCTCTTCTTCTCGGTCTATGCAGCTTAGTATCATCCTTGACCAATTGACGACCGGGAATATGGTTTAGTGGCAAGGGATATAAATTGAGATTTCTTCCCGTAGAGTTTATAGCAACTTATGAGTTTCTTTCTGCAATAATGATGTGTTAGTTATGTCTCTTTTACTGATAATCCTTAGATCAGGTTCATACGATTGACTTATCATGATGACGAATGCAGTAGGCAGTGATGCTGAATTGATTTTCATTTTACTTTGTGTCGCATTCCAACTGTCTTCACTAGAGCTCTCTATGTGTGGTTGGTTTAATACTTACTGGAATCCTACTGAGAGAGTTCAGTTCTTGGGGTTTGATGGAAAAGTGAATTATAAAAACACATCAGAATTCTTAAATCTCTTAAAATCAGTGAGGAACGTTAAGTCAACAGCTAAACTACTTCAAAACCTGGGTTTGTTTTGGTTTCATTTCAACTGACGATGTATGAATACCAAATGCGAGAATTGAATCGCATTAGTTACATTTGAATGTCAGTTACTAGATCCGTTGTTTCATTGGGTTAAGTGGTTAACTCACTACTCTTTCATGTTTATAGCAGTCAATTTGGTAACCGTGCAAGTGTATTTGGGGGTAGGAACTGGGGAGTGGGAGCCAATGTTGCTTGGTTCTAATACTCTACTTGGTTCGAATGATTAATGGAACTAGGGGGTAGGAGTCAATGTTGCTTGGTTCTAATACTTTGATGCTATCCTTCCTACTTTTTAATTTGGTTTCATACTGCTTTCACATTCAACCTACTCAAGTCTAGCTTTGATGCTTTTGTTAGTTTGTTTACAATCAATGCTCTTTCCTCTCGCCATGTTCTCTTAGACTTTGATAAAGCATTTTGTTATCAAAGTGGTCGTAATATCAGCTTAGAAAAGATACAACGCGGGGAGTGCACAATGGCCATCATCGTGTAAGTCAAACTATATATGCAAACAATTTCGGGACGAGATGGTGTTTGGCTGGTTGGGGTTCCTTCTATACCCTGTATGTTTTCTTTATGTTGGAGCTCCATTTAGATCCTTAGAATCAAGCTATAACAAATTCTGTACACACCAAGACAACATCATTCAAATAGAAAGTGTGGAACAAACTTTTGATTAGGTCATTGTCAAGATTGAAATTAGGAACTATTAATCAGGTTTGCTATATTTATGTGATGCTATAATTTTGGTTGATATAGGTGGCCAAATAGCTCTATGTTTATCACTACTAGCTTTGTTTTGGTTTTAACCGCAACAATGATCCCAAACTCGGGGATAGGCATCCCGAAGCTCCATTGCAGCTTCCTAGCTAGCTAGGAATTCTTTGATTTTGCTTAGGTCCTAATATACATAATTAGATCACTTTCCCTTACGGCTCACCTATTTATTTACTACTTATCGAGCCAGCTACAAGATCTAGGGAAGATAATACTATTAGAGCATGCTTTACATGTGTTGATTAGTACAGCTGGGCATTCTTTGAATTTGAAGGTTAATTCTACGTATAACAATTACACTCAAACACTATAAATTTTATCTCCAAAAATAATTAGATTTACATAATTAATTTCAGGCGTGCAAAAAAAAAAAAAGATAGAGGTGTATTAACAATTCACTATATTTCTTACATGTGATTCTAACTTTAATTCCCGGTATTTTCCATACGTGAACAGTAGAAGTTTGAGTGAACAAACTATTCGCACTCCCGGTGTGTCCTGTACGGAAAGGAAAATGAGCTTTGTGTATGTCTTGCATCATTTTCATTCCAAATAGTTGTGGTACGATGAGATTGAATTGAGCGTCATCACTAGCTGCATCGATAATTTGAATATCTGAATTAGAGAGTGGCCGAAGGAATTTGCCAAACTTCATAGCATATCCAATATTCTGTTTTTGGATCAAGATCAAAATTTGGCACTTCGATGAGTATCAAGATCATGTACTACACTGAAATCTTCGATGAGTATCAAGATCATGTACTAGGGTTCTACCTCTGGCGGTGGTACTAGAGGATTGAGTGATGGAGAATCACCAGTTGGGGAATACAATAATTTCCAGAGATAATGTTGTTGTCTGCTGATTGCTGAAATTTTAGTGTGGAATCGGAAAATATTCTCTTTAAGATTGTCTTGGTGATTATTTAGTGTTTGAATTTCATATTTTTTTGAGCGGATTTTAACAAAACAATTTGCACTTATAGTGGTCTTTATTGTCTTGGTGATTTTTTATTAGAGAACACAAAAATGGAATTAGTGTATGCATCCAATTCTTGAGTTATGATGACTGTTCCTTTGGATTTTGAGAAACATGTGAGATTTTATGCCTTCAACAAATCAAAGAATGGAATACTCATGAGTTGTTATGATGAGTCTCAAGTTTTTATTGGAATCAAATTTTATTTTATAATGGTGATATTTTGTTGAACTCGAGTTAGCCACGTGAGGTTAAGTTGAACATTTTGTATTTTTTTTGTTTGACAACAGGTGTAGTAGAGCTTTGATTTCCAGAACATTAACAAAAAGATTGAACTACTTACTTGCCTAACAATTAATAACATAAAAAATTCAGAAGATAACGAACAAAAAATATAATTTATCAACAAAAGTTAGCGCCATAATCTCATTTGGTTCTACTCATTCATATGGTTCTACTCCTTTAATACCTACCAATTTCACCTCCTAATTCATATCCGACAATAAGAAGTGCAAAAATTTCTTATAAAATATGGAAAAACATATGAAAAACAATAAACTAGGACGATTCAATCGACATAAATATTAACTAATTACCGCTAATGTCATAATAATAAAAATACCATAAATATTAATTTGAAATAAGGAATTAACTATTTTAGATGATATGTTAAAAAAATATTTTAAAAGATCCCAAATATTTAAAATTATGAAGAAATTAATCAACATAAAATAAAATAAAGTTAATCCGACCAACGGATCGGGTAAAAGCTAGTAGTAATTTATGACGAAGGCAAATTTTTTGGAAAAAATCCCAAGTTACACATGTTTTTAAAAAAAATTCTCAAAATACACACGTTATGAAAATAATACCCAATCTACGTTAGTTTGAGCCATCACCGCTGTCGACGAAGACAGTGATTGCATCACTGTTGTCGACGAAGACAGTGATTGCATCACCGCTGTCGACGAAGACAGTGATTGCATCACTGCAGTACACGGCCGCGGTGAAGGCCTGACCTGCATCGAAACTTTAAACAAACGTAACTTTGTGCTCGGTTATCCGATCGTAGCAATTTTTTTTATTCCGCATAATTTTTCGAGATCTTGCAAGCCACAAATGGCCATAGGCGGTTTGGTCCCGCCTTCGTCTCGAAAATATGTCGTTTGCTACCCCGAACGAGCCTTTTTTCGATTTCGTCAAACTTTGAATGACCATAACTTTGTGCTCCACAATCCGAAAATCATGATTTTTTTTTATTTCGCATAACATTTTAAGGACTACAATTTTTATCATAGACATATTTTCGGAATGTACTTGGATTCCTGAAAAGGAAGGTAAAGTTATTCCCAAAACCCCTTATATCCATAAATAATTCATTTTTTGAAAATTCTCTCCTACTAAATATTTTAGTCCTTAAAAATTTATGCGAAATCAAAAAAAAATTCATGATTTTCGGATTGTGGAGCACAAAGTTATGGTCATTCAAAGTTTGACGAAATCGAAAAAAGGCTCGTTCGGGGTAGCAAACGACATATTTTCGAGACGAAGGCGGGACCAAACCTCCTATGGCCATTTGCGACTTGCAAGATCTCGAAAAATTATGCGGAATCAAAAAAAATTTTGCTACGATCGGATAACCGAGCACAAAGTTACGTTTGTTTCAAGTTTCGACGCAGGTCAGGCCTTCACCGCGGCCGTGTACTGCAGTGATGCAATCACTGTCTTCGTCGACAGCGGTGATGCAATCACTGTCTTCGTCGAAAGCGGTGATGCAATCACTGTCTTCGTCGACAACAGTGATGCAATCACTGTCTTCGTCGACAGCGGTGATGGCCCAAACTAACGTAGATTGGGAATTATTTTCATAACGTGTGTATTTTGAGATTTTTTTTTAAAAAGATGTGTAACTTGGGATTTTTTCCAAATTTTTTCTGGAACTTGGAAATAAAAATACAGACAACATTTTTTTATAGAAAAATACAGACAACATTAATGTAAGGATGAACTAATAAAAAAAAAATAAACTAAGTATCACAATCATCAAGTAACACAAAAAATATTTTCAAATTATCAATAAATTATTTACAGAATTCCAAAATCATTTAAGAATATAAACGAATTGATTAACATAAAAAAAATAAAGTAAAAACTAAAATTTACCGACCAACGGGTGGGGTAAAGGCAATTCGTGTATAGAAATAATGTGGTTTTCTTCGTGATAAAAAATATTTTTTCATGTTAAGTTCTAACAATTGAAGGTCCCTAATCATTTAAAATATAAATATATTGATAATATAAATTTCATGAAATATAATGAAACTGATACCCGACCAACGATCATGTTAAAGCTAGTCGGTTAGTATATATGTCAGAGAGAACTCTCTGATGTTATTCCTCTTAGATATTTCCAATAATTGGATTCGTGTACAACACCAAATATATCTTCTTTTCCACCCATTACTATTGGTGCAATGTTGCGTATATCATTTAAGAAATACATCCGACCAACCAACGACTGAGATCCAGATCTGATACATAAAGTTGTCCGAGGAAGATGAATCCGAGGACTGATTTGTAATGAATGTATAGTTATAGGATTGATTTGTAATATTTGTTTATTGTTTGTTTTCATAGAACTGAGTAGGTCTATATATATGTAAATGTAACAAGGATATTGTAAGTTTTCCATTTGATGAAATAAAAGCAAGCCAGGTGGCGTTTTCTGTTTTACAAGCAAACATGGTATCAGAGCGTGAAACTCACCGTTCTTGATTTTTCTTTTACTCTTTCTTGTTTTTTTTTTCACTTCGTCTTCTTCGAGGGTTTCCAGAGACGAGAACATCTCGTTCGTTCTCTCTGCCTCGTCTTCTCGATCCTTCTTTCTCCGATCGATTGATCCAGTTTTGCGTTTCGCTTTCTCTGCTCCGCTTCGTTATTCCGATCTGGCTTTCTCCGATCGTTGATTCCATCAGTTCGCCGTTCCGATCAAGATCCAGATCTCGTTCTATGGCGACTTTTGCGATGATTTCCGCTACCTCTGGGCCTCCTCCCACCGCTGGCTCGTCTTCCGCTACTGCCACTGCCACCGCTGACTCAAGCAGCGCGACTCCGACCGCCGCTACGAATCTCTCGCCGGCGCATCCTTTCTACATCGCCAATGGCGATATTCCTTCCCTGCAGCTCGTCACTGTGCCTTTGACTGGAGCGAACTACCACTCCTGGGCGCGTTCCATGCGTATGAGTCTCCACGCCAGGAACAAGCTTCGATTGATTGATCCCCGAGCGTCGGTTCCGTTACCAGATGATCCGTTGTGGACGGCCTGGGATCAGGCAAACATGCTGGTGCTTGGATGGCTGCAGCGATCAGTTTCTCAAGAAATTGCCCACAGTGTGCTCTGGTTTGACACCGCTGTAGAGGCTTGGGAAGATTTGCGGGAGAGGTTCAGTGAAGGTAACGAGGTTCGTATCTCTGACCTCTATGATGAGATAGCAGCACTCAAGCAAGGTTCTCAGACTGTTACTGCTTATTTTACTCGTTTTCGCGTTCTTTGGGAAGAACTGTTAATCTTGAGGCCTCTTCCTTCATGCTCCTGCAATCCACGCTGTGCTTGTTCTGCGGCTTCCATCCCTAGAGAATATATGCGTCGAGATCAGTTGATTCGCTTTCTCAAGGGATTGAATGAGAATTTCTCGGGTGTGAGATCTCAGTTCCTGTTGATGGATCCTCTTCCCTCCATCAATAGAGTCTTCTCTGGACTGGTTCAACAGGAACGACAGAATACTCCTTCTCTGCCCCCAGTTGCTCTTGCTACTCAAGGATCTACTCATGCTCAGGGTACGGCTGCTCCAAATCAAGCTAATGCAGCTCAGAGCCATGGTGGAGGTCGCAAACGACCATTGTGCACACATTGTGGCATCTATGGCCATACTATTGACCGGTGCTACAAGGTCCATGGGTATCCCCCTGGTTACAAGAGCCGACGTTTAGCTCATGCTGTCACCACTGAGTCTGCTTCTCCTGTTGGTGCTGGTGATATCCCTGTTGGTGCTGGTGATGAATCTGTGACCATTTCAAGGGCACAATATCAGTCTTTGCTCAACCAGACTCAGCCACGGATTCAGCAGGCTTCCACACCAATTGCAAATCTGGTCACTACTACTCAGACTGCTCCTATGTTCTCTTCAGATGCTTCTGGTTCGGGATCTCTTCCTGTTCATCAGACTACTCCAGTCATTGCCTCGGAAGATACAGGTTTCATTCTATCCTCTTCCTTTACTCCCTTAACTTCGATGATGTGGATAGTTGACAGTGGTGCTACTGATCATGTAGTATCAGTATCACATTTGTTTGATTCTTTTAAAGCGATTGATCACATGAATGTTGCACTTCCAAATGGGATTAAGGTTAAAGTCACACATATGGGAAATATCAAAATTACACCAACTTTAACTCTTTATGATGTGCTCTACATACCTGCCTTTACATTCAATTTGATTTCTGTTTCTAAATTAGTTCAGCAATCAAATTGTGCTGTTTCTTTTGCTGCTGATTCCTGTTTTATACAGGATCTTTCGTCCCAAAAGCAGATTGGTACTGCTAAACTCCAATCAGGACTTTATCATCTTCATATTCCTTCAACAGCATTTCCAAAATCATCTCCTCCATCTTGTAATGCCTGTTTCAATTCATCCCTTACTCCTTTTGATATCTGGCATTACAGACTTGGGCATACTGCTCTTCCTATATCAGAATTATTAGATACTACTGTGAAATCTTCTATTAGCTCTAATAAAAATCCTTGTATGGTTTGCCCATTGGCCAAACAGAAACGACTACCATTTCCTATTAGTCATTCTCATTCTTCTACATTGTTTGAACTATTGCATCTTGACATCTGGGGTCCTTTTCAAACCCCTACTATTGACGGTTACAAGTATTTTCTTACTTGTGTCGATGATCATTCTAGACATACATGGATTTATCTACTTAAAACCAAAAGTGAAGTAAGAAATATTCTTTTAAATCTGCCAGCCTTTGTTAGTACTCAATTTTCATCCAAAATTAAGATAATACGAACTGATAATGGCCAAGAGTTTAATATTCCATCTTTTTATGAAACATTTGGTATAATTCACCAAACTACTTGCGTTGCAACTTCACAACAGAATGGTAGAGTCGAACGTAAACATCAACATATCTTAGCCGTTGCACGGTCTCTTATGTTTCAAGCTTCACTTCCTATCTCTTTTTGGGGTTTTGCTGTACTGCACTCTGTTTTTCTCATTAACAGATTACCTACTCCAACCTTACAGAATAGATCTCCCTTTGAAATTCTGAACAATTCAAAACCTTCTTACTTAGACATTAAGGTTTTTGGATGCCTTGTATTTGCTTCTACTCTTCAGCAGAACAGATCTAAATTTGCACCAAGGGCTGATCCCTCTGTTTTCCTAGGATATCATCCTTCTGTCAAAGGGTCTAGGTTATACAATCTGATTACACATCAGATTTTCTACTCACGTGACACAGTTTTTCATGAACACGTGTTTCCATTTTTTAAAATGAATGATAAACTGGACTTTGATGTTTGTTTTCCTAACATCCAAGTTCCAGATTCTGTTTGTATTCCAGTCCCACAACCTAACTCTACTGATCATGCTTCTTCTGTACCTCCTGAAGAGCCTGAAAATGACATTGTAGATATTATCCAAGCGGTTGAACCGCCTCCTAATATTCGTCCCTCTAGACTCAAGGTACGACCTCAAAAACTTAAGGATTTTGTGTGTGATTTCCCTACTGCTTCTTCTTCTGTTTCTTTTCCAATCTCAAAAGTGATGTGTTTTGATAATCTAAGTGCTGAATATCAAAAGTACATACTTGCCACATCTGAAATTGTTGAACCACGTACTTATAAAGAAGCTATAAAAGATCCTCGTTGGGTTGAGGCTTGTAATACTGAATTGGCAGCACTAGACAGAACCAAAACTTGGACTGTCGTTGAACTTCCTGCTGGAAAAATTCCTATTGGTAACATGTGGGTGTTCAAAATAAAGTATCTTGCTTCGGGTGTCATCGAACGTTTTAGATCTCGCCTAGTGGCTAAGGATTATACTCAAACCCCAGGTTTAGATTACTTAGACACCTTTGCTCCGGTAGTGAAACATACTACAGTACGTGTAGTTCTTTCATTAGCTGCTATTAATGGTTGGTTCTTGCATCAATTAGATGTTAATACAGCTTTTCTTCATGGTGATTTAGATGAAGAAGTGTACATGAAAATTCCACCAGGTTTGGTTGTTCCTTCTCACTTTAAAAATCCCGTTTGTCGTCTTAATAAATCGCTTTATGGTTTAAAACAAGCTAGTCGTCAATGGAATATCAAATTAACATCATTTCTCACTTCTGCTGGTTACAAACAGTCCAAAGCAGATTATTCTATGTTTGTTAGAAGTGTAGATTCTTCGTTCACTGTTGCATTAGTGTATGTCGATGACATTATTTTAGCTGGAAATGACTTGAATGCTATTTCTGACATTAAACTCAAACTTGATCAGACTTTCACTATTAAGGACTTAGGTGAATTAAAGTACTTTCTTGGTCTTGAGATGGCTAGATCTTCTAAAGGAATTATGTTGTGTCAACGCAAATTTGCCTTGGATCTCTTAACAGACACTGGATTTTTGAGTGCAGAACCGGCTGATTCCCCTACTGTTCCGGGTCCTAAGTTGTCTGCCAAATCGGGTAATCTCCTTCCTGATCCTTCCTCTTACAAGAGATTAATTGGTCGACTTTTATACCTGTGTAATACACGACCAGACCTTGCATATGCAGTACACCAGTTGAGTCAGTTTACACATTCTCCTACTGATGTGCATATGCAAGCAGCAGAACGCATTCTTCGTTACTTAAAGGGTACTGTTGGTCAAGGATTACTATTTTCTAGTGATTCTAAAGTGCTTTTACAGGCCTTTTGTGACAGTGACTGGGCTGGTTGCCCAGACACTCGTAGATCAACTACTGGTTTCTGCGTTTTGCTTGGTAATTCTCTTATTAGTTGGCGTTCGAAAAAGCAAAAGACTGTCTCTCGTTCTTCTGCAGAAGCCGAGTACAGATCTATGGCTAGTTTAACTTGTGAATTGATATGGTTGAGATACATTCTTCATGATTCACATGTTGATTTAGCTGCTGCCACTCCTGTCTTCTGTGACAGCATGTCTGCTATTAAATTGGCTGACAATCCTATTAATCATGAACGTACTAAGCATATAGAGATTGATTGCCATGTTATTAGAGATCAAATTCTGAATGGTGTTATCAAGGTTCTACATGTCTCTTCAGCCAATCAATTGGCAGATATGTTCACCAAATCCCTTCCAGTTGCTGTGTTTCAGTTTTTGCAGAACAAGCTGGGACGTTTGGACATATACGCGCCAGCTTGCGGGGGGGAGTTGTCCGAGGAAGATGAATCCGAGGACTGATTTGTAATGAATGTATAGTTATAGGATTGATTTGTAATATTTGTTTATTGTTTGTTTTCATAGAACTGAGTAGGTCTATATATATGTAAATGTAACAAGGATATTGTAAGTTTTCCATTTGATGAAATAAAAGCAAGCCAGGTGGCGTTTTCTGTTTTACAAGCAAACACATAATAATAATAATAATAATGCTTCCATGATTGCACGGTAACGAGATGCGCCATAACATAACATTCATAAGCTCGCACACCCATGATAGCTAGCGCGCAATCCTTCAACAGCTTTCAAACCGATACCTCACCGTAAGCTGGCCTTCAACATCTCCACGGCCATCAGTATTATCCAGTCGATTGAAACTATGGAGGTCGAGTTCGAGCCCATGATCGTTACGTTCGTGAACAATACGCACCTTCACTTCACGTCGTCCTAGAAGACTTGCCACCTTCAAACACATGGACAACACATATATATATATATATAGCATTTTTTAACTGTCTAATGTACGTATATATATGTTAACAAACAAACTACATATATATATAGTAACGCTGAACATAATATAGAATAAACGTAATACCTTCAAGCAGCGGCCGCAGTTATTAGTAACGTTAAAATTATGTCCAAAAAATCCAGCACCAAAAGCAGCACGTGGATAATCCTCGTCGTGGGAAGCTCCACATGAAAACATCGACGACGACGACGAAGAAGAAGGGTTGTCACCAACAGCAACGTGATGATCATCGTCCAAGTTGTGGTTATGCGTGGCGTTAACAATACCGGCGGTGAGAACTCCTCCTCCTCCTCCTTCTCCTCGTCGCGGCGTGGAGGGTTGAGATGTGAATTCTTCTTCATCGGTGGTTTGAGGTGGAGGCGGAGAGGGGTATTGGTAGCAGGAACCTGTGTGGCAGTAGGCAAAGCTGGGATCACCGCAGTAGCAAAAATAGCTGCAGCAGCGGCCCGGGTCGCAATAAGCCCGGCTCCCGTCGCTCAATGCGCCGCACCACCGGTCCGGCTGCTCGTCGCACAAGGAGCGAGAAACCAGGCCTGCGGCGGCCCATATAATAACTAGCAAGTTTATTTTTGTAGCCATCGTCAGATAATTAATGTGCATGGCTCATGTATAGCGTCTGTTCTGTTTATATAGAACGAATGCAAATTAGACCTACTGAGTACTGATTAAACCTTACGCTGGAATGAAGTCGGCGAGATTCCTTTCAGGAGCTGATGAGAGATTGAGGTGGATCGATCGGGGTAAGTTAAGTAACGTACACGTTTGGATTGGATTGGATTGGATAAACGCAGGATGGTAATGGGATCTTGAATCGGCAATTAATATTCCATAGAGAAAAGGCGAATCAGGGGAGCCGGATTCTGTTTGGAGTACAAATTCTGTGACCAAGATTGCTAATAAACAAAGAAAGCAAAAAAAAAAAAAAAAAAAAAAAAGACAATTGGTCGAATTTCATTAGGAACTAAGGGGAAGGTACACGGGGTGAGATGGGTTGATGGGTCGTTAAGTTTGTTTCAATCTTGTAATTTGGTTAAGTGTGGAGTATTAGGGTGCCTAATACAGCTACTTAATTCTTTGGTTATTAATAGGTAGGGGTGCAATGGTTCGGTCAGTATCGAATTGCATCGGATCAAATCGGCGCTTGGACCGGACCACACCGGACTAAGTATAATATGGTCCGGTCTTTGGTTCCACGTATTTTATAAATATTGAAGAAAAATGAACCAAAGTGATTTTTGGACCATACCAAAGCGGATCGAATGTACCGTTGACATGATCCTTGATCCATAAGAGTGATCTCTTACTATTGGACTGCGGTTTTACTGAGTTTGGTCCGGCCCGGTCCAAACCGAACCGTTGCACACCCCTTAAACAGGAAGTGAATATGACAGAGGAACACAAAACCATAACTCGAACACACATGTCAAGTTTATTTTTTCCCTCCCCGACACTCAATAGTATTCTAATGATACTAGCTTCTTGCCTTTCTGTTTTAGTTTTAGGCTATTGACTCTTCATTTTGTTGGTTCCAATAGAGATTACTGGATCCCACAGGTTATGGTTCTCCTCTTCCTCTTTTCGAGTGATCTAATGATAAAGAAAGACATGTATTAGCATTAATTTCTTTTTACAAGGAAGTTGTGTTTAT